TCTGCCTAGTAAACTAATAATAATCATTTTTCAATTTCATCAATCAGCAAATCGCATACACGGCTTTTACGAGAATTGCCCCCAGTAGGATTCATACTGTGCGAAGTCATCAGCGCCCAAGAACCAAATGCAACGTTGTTAGCTTGATGCTGAGTCGATGTCGGGTTAATAAGAGACGGTGAAGAAAAATCTTGGGATTATTTCCAATATTCATATGTGTGAATGGAATGGATGGTGGGAGTTTGGGATATCGAATTTTCTTATTCGTCGGCGATGTACCGAGTAGGAATTCTGGGGTTACATGTTACATATCGATGGGATAGGTGAAATTCTAACATGTACGAGATGAGTGAGCGGTTTTGATGTGATGGGGAGTTTTAGGGTGATCTATGGGTGATCTATGGGTGATCTATGGGAATGTGTGAATAAAATGATTGGTTCGTATGGTTAGATCTCATCTCATCTTATCTAAAGCCCTATCACATATTGGACTTCGTCACTGTCGCATCGCCCGCTTGGTCTCACGAATAGTACGTTGTTATACTGTCGCTATCACAATGATAGGTTTCCAAGGTTCGAATCAGAATCCCCAAATTCCCCAGCTGCCATCACACACATTCCGGAGCGTCTATTCCACTCCGTGTAAAGATTGCCTAGGTAAGGCAAACTGGGGTTGTACAACTAATCGTCATCTCATCTCATCACCATCACCAGTCCTCAATATCCAATACTATCTTGATACTTGTGACATCTTCACCTGTCACCTCTGGGTTGACACATCTGGCACACCTCCATCAAACAAACTCCGTGTGGCTAAGCTTAATAGTCTACGGACTGTAACGACAACTAATGACTCACATTCCCATCACACAACACAACGGATAAATTTGTTTCGCCAAATATGAATTCGTCAATGTCGGCGAGTTGACCTTGACTCCCACAACATCAACGTATGTGATTACCATAAAATCACAACATCTGGGTTGGGTTTGGAACGTTGAGGCATGAGGCAATTTCGAATTGGAATTCAAATTCATATCGGAAGATATCTATCTACTCGAGTAATCACCTCAACTATCCTCGTCGAGAGAGTGTTCGCGAATGTTGTAGCTCAACAGGCGTAATGTAGCAAAACCACACTTATTATCATCTTCTCAAACCCTAACCCACAAATCAAAACAATCTATTTTGAGTATAATAGTTGAATGAGCGAAATTCCATTCCTGTGGTGTATGAATAATTTAATATGTTGTACCAATGTAATAAATTGAATTTCAGTCAGCTTTTTTTTTACCCCTCTACTCCACTCTTCCCTCCCTGCACGAATTCTGCCATCTTTTTATCTACTGTTTTTTTCTTATCCACTTGCATTGCAACCTATTCCTTCCTCCCCGACCTCATATTTTCAAGTTGTTCGGACGAAATTTCTTAGTCTCGACCCTTCATACATAAAATCTGCATCAAAGTATTATTCAGAAGTGTTCGTAACATGAATAGTACTTCGTTCATGCGCTTTTATTGTCTAGATACCAAGGAAAATAATGAAATCACAAGCTTTCTCATACAAAAATACAAGTAGACTGGGCAAAATTGAGCCGCGTTGGGCTTCTCTACATAAGTAGTGTGTTTTGAGAAGTAAGCTTTTGGGACTACTGCAAGATATGTTGTACATCTAACCTTTCATCCCACTAATCCATCGTCTTTCTCACTGCCTTGAATGGAACTTTTGTGCTTTTTTTTTCTGCCGTTTGGTAAGAGGAATGAGGAGCATGTATCATGTCGTAGCTACCTACCTTCCAGTACCAGCTTATACATTATTCCCGTGGGTGTGAGCGACAAAGTTGTTATCCACTCTGGAGCCTGAGAGGTATATGTACAATATATGTACAGGATCACGCGCTGCCCCTCCAAGCAACTCCACAATGTACCGACCACCTTCCAAGCTTGCACAAATTTATCAAAATAACCCCTCTCCTCTTTGAGAGAACTACCTAATCTCCACATGCTTCTCGAAGCTGACTGTTGAGGACCCAGCAGGAGCGGGCAGACAGGCGAAAATTTTTCTTCTTTGCATATTCATATCAAGTACTTGGAAGTTGAAGTCTGATCATGTATGTATGTGTGTAGATGTGTTCTCGAGCCAAGCTGCTAGTATTGTAGACTAGTATTATGTATAGAGTACCAGTGATCCACAGTGTGGATACCTTGAGTGCAGGAACTAGGCCCTTCGTACATTTGTGTTTCACCATGGATGCGAACCATTTGGAGAGGTAACTTTAACCTTGGTTTTGGTTACTTGGGAGCAATGTCGTGTGCCAATTTCTTCCCGCTTAAGAGTACATAATACATACATGTGTTTAGGCGATGTCTGAATATGCACATGTCATAGGTACATACTTCGGAGTTTGTACTGTACGTTAAAGTACATAGATGAATATTGTCCCGAGAGTTTGAAAGCTCCTAAAGTTGCTGTTGGGGAATTAATGGATGAAGAGGCATTGTACAAGGTGAGGGGCTATGCTGTTTTGCGGATTCTAAGGAAGAGCTAGGGTGTGGCACTTTGGGTGTAGAGGATGGAAGAGAAACATCTGAGAAAGTTTGCATGCTGAGCTGAGTGTGTTGATGGGTGGTTGGTAGGCAGAAGAAAGCTAGGAGGTAAGACTGGTACTAGATGCTCTAAGTTGTACGCTACAAACCATTGTAAATGTCCAAATCCAACGCATGCAGCGTAAGTAAGAGATTCGACCTCTCTTCTCATAGCTATCATCAAAATTCATGACTCGATACAATAATGATCACCATCGAAGGAGTGAGTACACGACTTCTAGCCTTCCAAAGATCTTCCAGTTTCACGTCCAGAGGCCATCTATTCTAGCTAATCCAATTTCCCTTGAAAGAGCCAAGCTTCTGTTCAGTGATCAATCCTCGCCACCCCCATCATGATCGCCATGCTCACACTGATTTTCTTCCCCATCATCTTCATCCGCACCCTACATGATTAAAGAATAGCGCGAAAAGGTTACAGACGGATATTTCTGGATCTACACTGCATCTTCTCTCTCTTGTATATATGTATTCCTCCACTCCACTCCACCATACTATTCCACTGCGTGCTGCATGCACCGCGCATTCGCATTTGTATTCGAGTCACCAGGTAAACACAGAGTACAATAAGTATTCCCTCCGAGCGAGTCCCACGAGTATTTGCCCGCAAAATATCCATCTGCATACTTTATGTAATGTACATATGTGAGTCTTACGAGTTGGAATGCGAAGTATTGCAAAAAGGTACGACGAGACTAGGAGTTTACGAGTATTGTAAGTACATGCTACATAAACATCCTTCGTTTCTGCCCGTACGTTTCGTGATTCACGACATGTGTATCACGGCATGTTACGGGATGGGTACTACATATTATATAGTGTATAGTGTGTAGTATGCTCATTCTCTCATCTTTATAGCGGGAGGAAAAGCATAGAAAGAAGGAGAAAGGAGGACGTGCGCAGTGCATTACTTTTGCATGTCTGCATTGCATGTCGGGTTGTGTGTGTATCTGTACGAGACGAGGATGTACTGGGGTAGGTAGAGAATATTCAATGTAGTGGGTAGGGAGGGGGGATATGGCAGAATGGCAGAAAAGATGTGTTTCATGGGGGTGTAAGGTTTAGTGTTTGGAGTTTGAGATCATATTTGATGTTTGAGTATCAGAACGAAGATTGATGAGTAAGTGAATTTATAATCTTGAAATGATCTCACTTGGTGGGCAAGGAATCAGAGGGTTAGGGTTTAATGGAGGGGTTTTGTCGAGGTAGAGCGACGGAAAGGAGGGGAAGTCATGATTGTCATTTTGTGGTCTGGTTCTTCCATCACTCATAGTGCAATTTAGTCCTTCAACTCTGATATCGCATTGTCATATAATATCAATACTCATACCCACGCATGGAAAAAGAGTTTTAGGTTATATTCTAACAAACTGGTTATCATTCGGAGACTCATATATCTCTTACCCTCTCACCGTTCATTTCGCATGTCGCCAGCTATAACCCCTCCAGTTTCTCTTCATTCTTCATTCCACTTTTGTATCTTTTCCTTGTTTTGTTCATTTCAAATCACCCAGTACTCGGGTTATTCCAACAAATAGACGATTGTAATGAAACTATTTTCGGAGGTACTTTCAACAAATCAACGAACTAGCTGATGCTATCTCCATACATATATCGACCATCCTCCAAATCCACATTGCATCACCAACTTTCAAGTTCTGTTTCCAATCCCCTCCAGCCGCATGAGTAACCCCCAATTTTCAATTTACAACTTCTCCCTTCCACTTCCAGGTAAATCCTATCCTTCCCATCTCTATCCCCACTCCATCCCAACTTCAATCTCCAATCCATCCTAATCCCTCCCTCTCCCACTCATCCCCATATCCACATGCACAAGCACAGCACTGCCCAGAAGATAAACAAGCATTGCCGTTACGAAATCTCCCGAGCTCAGTTCCTTGAGCATGCATATACTCCATTAAATCCGGTATTTTCCTCTCACCCTCACCTCTCACCTCTCACTTCTTACCTATCCACCACTCAGCAGACCATGCATGCAATGTAACGATCCAAGATCTGACAATCCCACGATCCCACAATTTTCAATTTCTCAGAAATACAGCACGAGATAGGATCAAGTAAGAAAGATAACAATTATTCCTCCTATCGGCTGAAGTTAGGTAGATGTAACGAAGTATTGCCAGAGTGGAGGCGGAGTGGAGTGGAGTTTCCACAATATATGCGGGGAGATTAGAGATATATTTTGAAGAACTTGGATTTGGAAGGAGGTTATTCGAGCAGCTTGGCGGCCAAGCAAGTAAGAAATCAAGCAGGGAAATAAATAAATGTTTGATAATATTTTGATTGGATGATAGTATATTCTGAAAATGAAGTCAAATATCAAGATCTAGCCTTCTAAGGGTATGGGCAGAAAGTCCATTTAGGGAGCTCGATTTCTATTCTGACATCTTGACCTCAATGGAAACCGGTTCTTCCTTGGCTGGTTCGGGTTCGGTCGGTTCTTCTTTAGCCACTTCTTCTTTGCCATCAACCATCTCCGCATCTCCACCCTTGACGACCCCATCAACTCTGCTGAGTACCGCCACCCCCTCCACATGCCCTGTCTGTGGGAAAAAGTCGAAACCCCTCAGGCTCTCAATTTCATATCTAACTCCCTCCTCGCTTCCATTAACCAATACCCCCACATCTCTCGCTTGTGTATGAACATTACAACTAACATAAACCACTCTTCTCGGTCCAAACTTCAATAACTGACTTAAGAAACTCTCATCGCATCCTTTTCTTGGAGGATCAATGACTACCACCGTTTCATCTTTAGGATAAGTGACTTGTTTGAAGAGTTTTGGTGCATCCGCTGCCATAAAACTACATCTTGATGCATCTAAATTATTGAGTTCAGCGTTACGACGCGCAGATATGATGGAAGCGTCTGAGATATCTATTCCGGTTGAGGATTTGAATAGAGATGAGAGTGTAATGGTGAAGAGTCCGGAACCGGAATACGCATCGATTAAGTATTGAATTTTTGGTAGGTCTGGGGAGTAGGATCCTGGAGGTGGTAAAGCATGGTCTCGAATGTATTGGGTGAAAACGGGAAGAATGGAATTGTTGTTTTGGAAGAAAGATCCCGCAATGCTGGTGAAAAGGAATTTGTCAATGTATTCTGTTGATTCCCCTTTATTATCCGTAATGCAAGTTTTCAGATCAGTGTACTCGGGAGTTGTGACTTTGATGGTATTGGGTGGTGTTTCCATATCTTCTTGGTATTCCGCATCGCCTTTGTAAATCCTCTTGGTGCTCTCTCGTAATAGAATCGTAGCTCCTCGTTGGTATTTATGGAGTTCCTCTGCAACTCTTTTCCTCTCAAGCTTCATTCCCATTCTTACTGCATCAGTTCCAATTGGACAATCCTCAATGTCCAATGTTGCCCTTTTCCCTTTCTGCATGAATCCAATTTCTGGAACCTTATCAAAGGCAGCTTTGGTATCACTCCTTCTGTTTGACCTACTCCTATAACCTGGTGGTCCGTCGAAATGTGGAGTAAGCTTTGTGCGATATTCATATTGTAATGGACTTCCAATGGTGTCCAAGATGGCCGGTACAAGTTCCGATGGAAGTTGAGAGAAATTTTTGTATGCCTTCTCAACAATCGATTTCTTGTGTTTCAATTGCTCAGAATAATCTAACATCTGAAATTGACATCCGGAACATTTGCTGAAGTATTTGCAGTTTACTCGACTATCATCCCGGAGGTGAGATGGTTGAACCACGGAAACAAAGTCTGCTAAAGAGTAATTGTCTCTTGGAAAATGTGTAATGACTTTCGCCTTTACAATATCCCCTGGCACACTGAATGGCACAACATATATTCTGTTCGTAGGTGGGTGAAGCGCAAGTCCGTCTCCTGTAGATGATATCTCAACGACCTTGACTTCGATCTCCGTGAATCTCTCTGGTAATGCTGCTTCTAATTGAGTGCCTGTCGCAACGGACGCTGATTCAGCGGATGCTAATTGCTCTTGTTCTGCTCCATTTTCGACCTTCGCAGACTCGGGGTTTCCATTTTCGATTGGGACCTGAGAAGCATTGGAGATTTTCTGCGCCTCAAACAATGCTCGCACATCTGCTATTAAAACTTCTTCAGATGATCCCTCCTTGACTGGCTTTGGCTTGTAAGCCTTTTGTCTTTTAGGAGCTCGACCGCCTTGATGCTGCTTTCTTTTGCGATCCGGTCCTTGGTCTGCTGATGGAGTCATTGCGAAGAAGTTATAGGATCGAATTGGGTTAAATTTATACAGTAAAGGTTTTGAAAGGAAAGCTCTTGAAAGATTTCTAGAGCATTTCAACATTAAAAAAATCCAATTCAAAATGTAGAGCGTAGAGGATGACTTAATTCGCAGAAAAATTGCGATTATTCTTATTAGAAGTCAAAATTTCGGTCCCCTCCAGCTTTGAACTTTTTTCCCCTAGGGCCAATTGGGTTGGGGTCTAGCGTCATGATCAATGGAAGTTTAGCGTTCATGTGAAATTTATGATACTCCACCAAAATTCATTGCATTAATAAACATCAATTAGGGAATTATATATGGAGATTTGAATCATCGACCAATTATCGAATTGGAATTATAAACTATATGCCAGAACCAAAACCCTCTTCAGATTGTCATGGGTGCTCAACGTATACATCATCACGTCTCCTCCAGCCCAACGCGAGGGGTAAAACAACCTCCCGTTACCAATATCAACTAGATCCCTTCCTGATAGGAATTCGACAAGAATATAAACGCCGCGGAGGTTCTCTCCTCCTGAACAAAGCCGACATGCTGGCTGTTCAATTCTGATTTGTGTACGGAGCATTTCAACGTAGGTCCTTCAATTGTCGCAACTCTTTGTGCTATTGTTTCTTCCTTCAATCGCCCACTCTTTCAGATTTCATCCCGAGTCTTTTCCGTCCTTATTCCAAATCTTCTTCACTGCATCTGTAAGGGAGAATCCTCCGAATAGCCAATCGTCTGAATGTCTTCCGCACCTATATCACTCCAGGTCAGCACATGGCAATGTGGAAATTATTACTGCAGAAAGTTTGACTATCAAGATGATAGCCGAGAATGTCAACAAGACCAAAGCCTTTGGTAAAACTTACTCGGTATAGACATTAACATGTTCATTACTCGAATGTCTTCTCTTGACGCCATCCTTCTTCTCCCCTCCCTTCCCTCTATTCACACTTCCACTTCTCGCTCCCTCAAATCTCGTCCTTTCTGTCTGCCCGTTCCGCATGGATTCCTCCTCACTTCTTCTCCTCATCAACATCGATGGAGTAGGCGACTTTTCTCTTCCTGTAAATGCAGGAGTCAATTCTGTTTGTTGAATACCCATCTCCATCTCTCTTCCTTTTCCTCTCCCTGCAACTCTGACATCGGAAGAATCGCTGCTTTGGGTGTCCAAAGTAGTGACAGAGTTTAAACTCTCGTAATCATCCAGTGCCATTTCTCTTCCTGTTGATGTCGATGACGACGACAATGATGGTGGTGATCTTTTCATATTTACCGATCGCTAATGAAGGGATATTGGTTTATATGTGGTTGAGTTGCTCACTCGGTTTGGAACAATTGATAGGACACTTCTCGAAAGAGGCGTTCACTCAGGTCCCACCACACTTCCAAATGAATAAGTATACAAAGAGTAATGTCAGAACTCTTTTTCTTCGAATTCTGTAGATATCGATATCTATATATTATCGTTCTTAAAATTTGACACGTCTTGTTTGTTAAAGTTCCTTAGAATGAATGCAAGTAAGATTGTACACATTCCACCTTCATTCCTCGCGGCGAGCATCGAAGTACTTAATGCTTTCCAACTGAGGAATCTTGTGCCATGATCACCTACTCGGCCAATATCCTATCTTTCAAAAAGGCTCGAACGGCATCGCAAGTCGTAAGTCCAACCTATAAGGCTGACCCTATATGCATGGAGTACCAGGTATTTCCACAGCCCTGCAACATTTGATTGGACGACTTATCCGGGTTCCGGCTTAGGTGGAAGTCCCGTGCCGATTGTGTATCATGGTGGAGAAAGAGCTGGATGAGTGTGACGCACACTTGTTCCTCTATCATGGGTCTCAGGAACCAACTTTGTTCTTTTAATAAGTTTGGTGGAGGGAAGAGCAATTGATGGGGTTGGAAATAGCATCACGGGATGAAATAGACATGGGTGCTGTCGACGAAGAAGGGTCTGAGGTATTTAGTTGCTACGATAGTATCTAGGCAGTAGCCTTTAGAGCGCGGTATTTTGGGTGTGAAATACCTCATTCCTATGCCCAATTATGTGAAGGCACGATATAGTTTGGGAATGCATTATTGGAACACATTTTTTGTTCGGAATAGGTCGAAATGAATCTTCCATGCGTAAGAATTTGAGTATTTAGTATGAGTGAGCCCAACATACGAAGAAAGCTATTGACAGAAGCGGTTCTTGAGAATTGAATTTCGATAATGAAAAGGCGTCATCTGGGAGAAGTCAAGGTCGCATGATTCTGGCAGTCATTGAAGGATATTTTGGACGACACTATGACTGTGTAGGCATGGATGGATAACTGCAAAGGCCAAGAATACTGAAGGAATGAAGCGAATGAACTTAGTTCAGGCTTGCCAATTGTGTAAACCTCATACTGTTAGCATTGTTCCAGCCAAATCCCGAACCATTGGTCACTACGATCATAATATGAGATAAAGAGCAGAAAGCTCAGCAGGAAATACATAGCGTCAACCATCATTGAGAGCTCGTCTCACATTTGACGGTAGATAGAAGATATCATAAATTCATGTCTTGCATTGATGTTTTGTACGCTCTTTCATCAAAACCCAGAAGAGATTCCTGGTCGTAAGTCCCAGACATTGATAACGACATACCGTCATATTATCATGTCGAACTTGTACACTATATGAGCTGCAACCAGAATTTTAGTTTCGGAACCTATTCGAAGACACGGCGACGAATTAGAACAGAATCTACATCGCTGCTTCAGCTAAAGATCGGCTGGAAGGGCGGGGAGCAGTAGAGTACATGCTCCACTAGAAGGCATGAAGTGTTCATTATATATCCTATATATTGGATAAACACTTCAAACAGCACAACCCCGCTTCTCGGTTTTTACTCTGACTTCATCTGCAACCGTAGATATAAATTCAATTACTTATTACTCTTGAAGGGCATACCTAGCTCTAGGATTTTCCACAGATGTCGAGATTTAGTGGTAAGTCTTTCAGCCCCCGAAGGTAGAGATCAATTTGCAGAGTAGTAAAACATGATCATGATCCTAAACTATGCCTCTAGTACACTTCGCAATTGATTATCCTATTCTCCATCCATCCATTCATTATCTATGACTCTTTCAGCCTCAGTCCATCACCGTCAAGCTTCACACCTCACTGCACCGCACGGCACCGCCGCAAAAGATATTCCTCCATCCATGCTATGATTTGCCAATTAAACAACTCCCATTTGCTACCAAAACGACCAATCCAAATCAACCAATCCACCACGATCCACCACCCTGGATGGCAGTCTTCCAATGTAACAAAGCATCAAAACATACGCTCAATCAAGAGCATTGCGATCAGCAAACGGGTCATTTTCATCCTCTTCCTCTTCTTCATCCTCCGATTCCTGTGCTCTCGGATGAGTCGTTTGAACAGGAGTAGGTGGTGCGGGACGATGAGCGGGTTTGGTTGGACTATGTGGGCCTGTAAGTGGGCCTGTACCGAGTGTAAGATCATGTAATTGTTGTGTGGTTGAATCACTAGCTCTACGTCCTGCCTTGCGTTCTGCATTATTAATTTCTGCCACTGTATGGTATTAGTACGTGCTTGAATGCGACAATTCGATGGTTTCGTTATTCTCGAAAATCAAAGGCAATCTTGAGGATGAATACACATACTTTTGAAGAGATGAGCTTGCTCTGCCATTTCGTCGTCAGAGTCACTGTCTGCGTCAATCGATCTATCCAATTGTTCAAATGTCATTAAGGCATTGACCAATCCATCGTTTGCGTGAAGAAGCCCCCCAAGCCATTCCTCGGCCTCTACATGTTGGATCTGAAAAAACGGTTAGCAAAGTCAAGTAGGCATTGACTAGATGTTACTACAGTGAGGACTGCAGTTTGATAATCAGAGAGATTCAATATCCCAATGAAATTGGATCATTGGAAGTCAACATCTAGTCTACTGGTATGGTCTACTAGATACACTGATCTTGACTTCAAACTTACATATCGTAGAATCTTCCTTCGTAGCAGTTTACAGGTATCAAAATATTGCGAGGCTATTTTGTTCTCAGAAATTCGCTCTTTCTCTCGATCGATATGTCTCAATGCGTTCAAAAGATTGGTAGATGCAACAGTTGATTCCGCAATAGCAGCCTTCATGGCTTCTTTCTCGGCTTCTAGGTTGAAAGGCTTGGACTTCTTCTTCTTGTCCTTCTTATCTTCTTTCTTGACCTTCTTAGCAGATCCAGACATGATTGAGGATGCCCGCTCTCTGGTACTAGCAGATGCAGTTGTTAGAGAGCTTTGTCTTGAGTGAGAAGGTCCAGCTTTAGAGGGACCTGGTCTAGAAGAAACAGGGGTAGATGGCTCTTCAAGCTCGTCATCCTGGAAGGGGTTTTCCTCTGTTTCACGGAGAACTTTCGATCTATCTTGCGTGACAACCTTCCTTGTATCAGGCAGTGCCTTGAAGTGCGTTAGTAAATGATATGAAAACACCCAGATGATACATACATGAAGGAGATTGACGACGTCTTCCATTCCAGAAACTTTCTTATATTTAATTGCCCAGCCTCGAAAGAGCTCCCTGCACTTAGCTTTTACTGCAGGGTCTGAAGTGCTTGAAACACCACAAACACGTAGACGTTCGAGGAAAGCATCATCGGAGGCAAAAACATGCTCAAACTTTGGGCCAGCATTCTGAACAAGGCCATCCAGAATTTCCAAAGCTCGAAGCTGACGTTGTACGTTACCATATTTGAGCTTCTTTCGTAGAGCTCTAGTGGCTTCTCTAGGGCCGGTGGCTTGAAGTTTGATAACATCTACCAAATCTGGAATACCGCCATAGGCACCGTCCTCGTTTTCCTCACTAGTGAGGCGTTCAATAGCGACGGTAACTGCTGAATATGGTTTCTTCTGTTTACGATGAACATATATTAGTTCTTCTGTCTTTGTTGTTTTCTGTCTGCCAAAAAGAAGATTTCCAACATGGCCTCTATGGAAATAGTCGGATTGGGGTTCTGAAGGAATGTATGATGCAGTATAAGATCTTGCATGGCGACGTTGAAGTTTTCTCTTGGCAGGCCTACTACCATGCTCGCCATGACAGGAGGACATCGGTCATAAATCTCACAAATCACGAATATGTCTCCATAATCTCGTGATGTGAGTTGATAAGAATGGGGCAATTCCGGAAGTAAACAGGAGGAATGAAGAAGGTCAAGAATCAAGAGTAGAGAATGGCTATGGAGTACTGACCGAAGAAAACATATTTGCCTACCCGTATCTCAGGGGCCTTGACTACGAAAAGGATTGGCTTCGCTACAAGCTTCTTCCGGAATGTCTAACAAGAGACCAATAGTACGGGTGCAGGAAGAGCAAACAAATATATCGGGATAACCAAGGATAAGTGGATGCAGTCCGTATTGATTTGGTGGGATTCAAAAATGTATGTAGTATGAGTTGTCGAGAAAGGAAGTTATCAGATTTTGATGTCAAATGTTCTCCTGCCACGTCTCAAAGTGGAAGGTGGGGGGAGGGGGGATTTGGGGTTGGGTTGGAAGATCTTTGAATGTTTTTTTTTGGTGATATCTGACTGATTTCCTCTTTCTGTACAGAAGTAGCTAGTGTATCTAGTACAGTATATCGATATCAGTGAAGTAAAGACATTCAATAATGAGTCGACGATAGTAAGTAGTGAACCAGTAGATATGAGTGAGTATTGAGTGAGTACTGATTTAGATTACTCAGACGAGAGCAAAGTACTTCTTGGTTTTGGTTTTAGTTATGTTTTAAGTGAAGCATGTGATGTACGGAGTGTGTAAAGGGATTGGAAGAAGACTAGTAAAGCGGGGCGGGACGGCTCTTTAGTGTCCGAGGTACCCGCTTTTAATGGCATATGAGCCTTAGGCTCTATACACCCGTTTTGGAGCTTCTTTTAGTCAAACTTCAATCTCCAGAGCCTCTATCTTCAACTGTTAATAACTACACAGTATCGATGGTCACTTCATAGCCGTGGTTTCGAGACGTTGATATTACCGTCTGAACTCAACATATCAATACTCAGTTCAGTTGTTCGATAACTTCCAATTGATGACGTAAAAAGGAGGGGAGATTGATAAAGGAGGGGCATGACGGGGGTGGTGCGACAAGTGATGGATTGAGGAAGAGTTGGTGATGAACTGAAGTATGGTCAAGATGGCGCAGTATCGAGGCTTGAATGAAGGGGAATTGAGAGGAGAAGGAAGAGGCCAAGAAAATCCGACATACATGTTTGTCTGGATTTCGCCATAGTTCAATCCTGTCATACTAATACTTTATCAACAAACAGTGCGCCGGAAACAGCAATGCGCCCATATCTATCCTTCACTCCCATCAATCTTAGTCGTTCAAAGAGTCTAAATCCAATGTCACCTTTTACACGAACAGTCGATCCATTGAAAACTTTGCGCAACACAGATGTCTACGACCTACCAGATGACGTCCCGAGTCCTCCCATTCCGGATGGTAAAAAGCGACAAACTCCACGCTCGAAGAATGGCCCCACGAAAATCTTACTCAATGCCAGATCGCATACAAATACTACTGTGGAAGATTGTGACGCTGAACTATTTGAGATAGCATCGCCGAAGAGAAGGAAAATTCCTACGAAAGGAGCGCAACCCCCGTTTAAGTTCCCTTCTAGAGTAAAAACTATACCTGCTCATCAAGATCTTGAGCAACCACCTAACGAATTAGGCGACCGGCCTTCTATTTCTCAATTGGTCTCACCACCTGATACTCATAAGAGATCTAAGAAGAGAGCGCATTCTGCCACAGTTTCCAAACGAAAGAAATCTTCAGAGTTGTTTCAGAACTCAACAGTTACCAAACCGTCACTGTCTTGCTTTACCTCAAAGTCTTTGAGAGAGCAATCACAACCCATCAATCGGCTACAAGGTTTCACGACAACTGAGGAACAGATGAAACGTAATTCGAATGGAATCGCGAGCACAACTTTACAGAAATTGGCAACTTTTAGATATGTACCTCGTGAAGAGAATCTATTGGCGAATGAATCGGTCACTGCGAGCAAAATAGAGGACACTCACGTTAACCTGGATAAGTATCGTGATGGATATGCTTTAGAAGAGTCGAATCATACCTCATCAGACTATGGGCATATATCAAGTGGCTCATTTTTCGAAGAGGCTTTGTGGATCTCAAAACAATCTGCCGACAGCAATGAGCCTGACACTATTCGTACGAACCAACCCCAAAGCCATCCCTTTTCTGAAAATCTATTGGCCTCCGTCACACGGCAGAAGGTATTCCAAGTTGAGCACTCGCCGAATCAATCTAGTGGCCCTCCCACCTTTGGTGAAGGAACACGGGAGGATGCTCTTGAAGCAATCACCAATAATGATGTCGACAGGCAGCAACCGCAAAAAGTTCTGCCAAAGATTGACAGCAGTGTGACCACTGAATCTGGAGATATGACTTCCGAGTTGCTAAAATACAATACACATCTTCCAGAAGGTAATGATCAGCTGCCCAACACCGGATTCGAGCAACAACAAGCACAGAATTCTCAACAGTTACTGAAACTCATGCCAACAATTAGTGTCGGAACATATGATAACGAGAATCATTTTGAGCAATCAGTCATTGAAGAAGGCATGCTAACGATCACAAACTCTCCACTAGATTGTTTTGACAGTGATAGCTTTGGCGATGATATTGATGATGAAGATTTGTTAGCACTGGTTGCAGATCCTATTATTCTCGCATCTCCCATGAGAGGCAAAGTGGCCCAAAGTATTCCAGCAGAACCATGTTCACCTTCCATTTCACATATTGTTCCTTCTTTACGCACGAGGACAACACAATTACACGATCCCGTCACTCTTTCGCAAGAAGTCACTCGCACTACATCTCCACCCATCGTTGCAGATGACGGTGACGATTTCCCAATGGATACTGATTTGGAAGAAGAGTTGCTTCGACTCGCAGGAACAATTCAAGTTCAAGGTGTCGTAGAGGCATTGGAACCACCACCAAGTTTAACCCTTCCATATGACGGTGATGATACTGACAGGGAAGTATACGATAATACTCTTCAATTCTCTTCACCTACGCCCCGAGAGCCATTCTCTAAAGGAATAGCTCTGGCCAAATCCACTGATAAACCTAGTCCGTCGAAACCACCGGTGACGCAAGAAGATGCAGATTGGAGCTATATTACATCCACGGCTTTGAGTTCGGTCAAAGCTCCAGTCATCCAATCTTCCGAGGCCCTCATCCAGCCATTCAAAAGCAGACCTCTAGAGAAATTGTTTACATCTGTGCAATCGATTCAAACCAACATATCGAAAATGTGGCTAGATGATAGTCATGAATATTTACCCCTCGCACCGTTTGCTCGGCCGAAATTTCCCCAAAGAGTTCAAGATCGATGCCCAATCAATGGATTATCGTCTCAAACCATTCTTCGTGTCTGTTTTCGGATTGGTGAGATGCTTAAAGAAGGAAGCCAATGCAATGCGCTAGGTCAGGACGCAATTATCGAGCTCTTTGCTCGTGTTAATTTCTCATCTCGAGAACCTGGGACTACCAAACAGCACTTTCAATTTGCAGACTTATTTCATGATCGACCACCATTTGCTAAGGGTATTCTCGAGAACTTTAAGACTACGGGACTAGCGGAGAGCGAAAGCAGAACTTTCATCGAATCAAGTGAATCGTTGATGGCAAGATGTTTGGGCAGAGTTAAGAAGGACGTAAAAAATGGTTCTTGGTTGTTGCATATCATCAATGTGAGAGTGACGGATTGGGAGGAGATAAGATGGACGAAGAGAATTGTTTGTGGAGAGCGCGAAGAAGAAGTCAAGGTAAAGACCACGGCTACCATTGCTGAGTTGTGCGAGGGGATGGCCTGATGTGGATATTTGAAGATCTTGCTATCGTTGCTATCATACTACTTACTGTGTATTGTCGCTAATCTAGAAGAGCACAGACTAACATTTAGAAAGGACTAATCACTGCAGATATGAAATCTCCAACACAGAAATATTTAGCTACGTTGATGCAATTCTACTTTTTGAAACAAATCTACACACATCGTTCATATGCAAATTGACATTGAGACTTGACCAGACCAGAATGTTAGATCGAGTCAAAATGCTTCTGCCTAGAAAGTCCTATTCATCACATGATTTGCATAGCCCTACGGGGCCATGAACTAACCAATCAGAACTCCTCAATTCGTCAAGTGGCAGGAACCTGGACCCCGCATATGCAAGTCTAAGTCTTATCGCAATCCATCATCGTTCACGAGCAAATGACATTCCATCCCATTATTGTGGCAGTGCTGCAAGCTTGCGAGCCGAGTTTGGATGACGCGGCGAAACTTCATGAGAGAGGATTCCTTTTATTATATGTGCAGTTTTCCCTTGGGTTCTAGGCAGAAAGAAGTGAGATTTTGAGATTTTGAAGTTTTTCGTTCATTTTTATAGTTTTTCGATTGAAATACGCGGAAGGAAATACGTACGCCTTCTGGTTCCTGTCAAGTCTATTTGCAAACGGTTCGGTTTGATCCACAATTTCCAGGTACAGGTACAGCGCGGATAGAATAGAGCTTGGGTGTACGGAACGGATACTAGGTCGGTAATTTCGGAAGCGTCCAAGATGAATCGCTCGCGTTATGAAGCTGTGAGTTTTTTTCTTTAGTTTCATTGGTATTGGATGTGCAATGTGCAATGGGAGGGAATGAGGGTTGCGTAACTCGGAGGAATCTGGAAATTGGAGATTGAGGGTCGAAGACTTTTACTTCTATATTGTGCGTCGTGGTGCTTGATTGGATTCGCTATATATGCATCGTGTGTCAAATAGATAGGGGGGGCTGCTGTTTATGTATTGGTGAATATTGCCATTCGCGCCTTGCTTTTATTATTCTCATCCTTAGCCACTTTTCTCTACCTTTTCATTACGTCTACAAGGCACTACACCTTACGTTCTACACTTCATACCTATTAATATTTCATCCTATTCTCTGCTTCACTCTCGAAGCAAAGCCACCAATCAACTAATCACCTTCATCTAGCTCCCCCGCACCTCATCTCCCTCAAATCCCCCGATTCTCCTCGACCCAATCTTTCAAAGTCGCCCCTCCTACAACTACAACTCCGGAACTCCTACATCCGTTCCCTCATCCGCTCTTTCAAGCCATCGAACATCTATCACTAGTATTTCATCTCGTACCCCACCGCCTAGCTTTCACAGCAGTCAGGTTGCGCATCTGAATAGTCAAGGTTCTTCGCAATTTACCTCAAGCAACACATATGCAAACGCGATAGGAGGAGCAAGCGGAGCAGGGACTACACCATTCCCTCCTTTCAACAATGCATATGCTACGAATTATTCAGACTCCGCACCACCATCTTTTCATTCCCGCTCTAGTACTCCGCGTCCAACGCCAAGTACGAGGACACTGGCTAGTAATGTCAGTGGGGTTAGTGGTGTAAGCGGAGGAAGTGGAGTAGAACTTTGGGGCGTAGCGACTACTACTTCTGGGGGCGATGAAGCAGGGGAAGATAGAGAGGGGACGGGGGGATTAATGATGGTGAAGGGATTGGAAAGGAGAATGGAGAGGTTGGAGGAGAGTATCGGGAGGTTGCTTGTTAGTTCATCCTTCCCCCTACCTTCCATTCTGGAGGAGGGGACGATACATCATGAGAATAAGAACAGACAAACAAAGGAATAAGCTAACGATAAAACGCAGCTGGAAAATGAAGAACTCCGCAGATTAAGAGCCGCTGGTACGGGTACAAATGCAGGGGGCGAGAATCAAAGAAACAGACAGAACTGCTGCGTTGTATTTACTGATGCATCGAGAGATATGGAGGAAGCATTGGTCATGAATGGTAATTCTCTTCTATTCCTCATCTCTAGACAATAACTAAAAAATTGAAGGCCACAATAACTGCTGTGTGCGTTTCACCTCCTCCACAAACTCATCAAATAGAAAGTTGCAGCGTAAGAAAGAATGCTTTGTTGCGCTTGCATTTATGACATTGTTGGTGACGGTTTTTGTGCTGATGGTTAATGGGTATGCAAGGGAGGCGAGTGGGGAAAGAGAAAGGGGGGTAGGGGGTTATGAGGAGAAGAGGGATTAGATGGAGGTTGGCAGTGAATATATGGAGAGGTTTCATAGAATGGTTGAAATTCTAGGAGGATAGAGGAGAAGATGGAGTGTAATGGGGGGATTAATAGACAGGATGGGTAAACAATTATGGATAAATAGGATGGAGGGACGATATACGACTTGATGATATCCTTGATTTTGGATTTCCTCATAACTCGGCTGAGCAGATACAGTGGGCTTTGATTCTATACATCATGATGTGCCTACTATGGTACAATAATATTTTCCCTTCTTAAACATGATAACTCAACACTATCTAGGTAGATATCGCGATCATATTTATACTTTGATTTCTCTATGGGTATTTACAAACATTCATACATAAATGCATCTATACATCCATCTATTCCCCCCTTCTTCTTTTATCCTACTTTACTTCACCAATCTTTTCTAATCTAAGAGGAGTTAGTTTTCCTATCATTAATTTAAATCCCGCTCAAAAGAAATAAAAACTAACTATCAACAAGTCCCGACCACTGCTCCTTCAAAAACTCGACAACAGCATCGGGACCCTTTTCGATCTGTAATCCGTGGGGGATAGCCATGGTTTTGATACCTGGCTTGGTAGATTTGGCGATTTCCTGAATTTCGTTTGCTTCTTCGGTGGTCCACATTGAGGCTACGAACTTGGGGGGGGGGGGTGTTAGTAGGGGCTGAAGGAAAGGGGCAAAGAGAGGGTGAAGGGGTGGATGGCGTAGAAGCAATGATACGTACTAGAACATCTGGTTGTTGCTCTTCGACCATGGCTTTTACATCTTCCATTCCTGTGAGGTAGTTAGTGACATTGCTCAATTCCCCGATTTAGCTGTTAATGTCTTCCCATGCTTCATTTCTACTCTGACTCGTCGATCGCTTCCAGACTCAAACATGAAGTAAATGAGAATGTTATTCATGAAACCTGTGGATTTGGGCAGTGAGACTTCACTTGACCGACGAATGCTTCTTTCAATGTCGTTGCAAAGTTTCGAAATTTCATATTATCTTCTTTTGCCAAATTCGTATACCCGTCTATCTCTCCCGATGCCGCATTCCCACTTCCAGTTTCAAAGCCCACAAGAAGTATCATAATGGGGAAAGAAGAAACTTTGAATGACACTCACGTTCAGCGTTTTTGACATATTCAATGGTATAGTTCTCCTTAACATCCTCGACCACCCTTCCAATCAAGATCTTTGCCCGAGCTGGGACTTTGTTAACTGTAACGAGCTTATAGGGTCCTTTTGGTGCCATTTTGAATGTGTGTTGTATGAAAGAAGAGGGTATTAAATGCGTATGTATATTTGTGTATTCAAAGTCAGTGTGAAGGATTCAAAAGATGTTTAAATGGAGAGATATACGAAGCAAGAAAAGCAATTCATACATACCATAAAACCCGAGGTCGGAAAGGAAGTCGGGAGATGGACAATGGTGGACGGTGGGGAGTGTGGGGATTGAGTATTGAAGTGGTATGATGAGAATGAGGGGCACGGGAGTGCTTATCGGGATTTTTTCGGGAGGGGCAATTTATGAGGAGGATTTGTGCAAGGTGTGTGGGGACAGGGATTTATTTTTGGATGATGACAATGGCGGGGATGCAGTATCAATTGATGGTACGAACATGTACGAACATATACGAACGAGTACAAGAGTTTCGACATCTCATTGACACCTTGAGAAAGCCTCGAGGATCATTTGAGGATGTAAGGAGGATATCAACGTGCAATACCTCAATCGAACCGTGGGTGAACATCCGTGCATTTACCGATTGATGAAGGGGTAAAGTTGAGAAGATATTCTATTGTTGAGAAGAAGACAAACAGACTCTCCCGCAAACCAATTTTTTCAATCTCGCATCACCGTACTTGTACCTTTGCATTGTATATCCTGTGTGCATGCAGTTTTTTAATATATCTTCGAAAATACATCTGGTACTCCATCGTGATCATGCCCCCTTCATTGGCATCTTTCTCAAAAATTCTAGCCAAGAGCCTGGTTCGACAATTCGTAATCTATAGTCACCGCGGCGTATTTATTGATGCATAACAGAGTGGTTTCGTCAACTGAAATGTATTTACAGTCTTCAATCGATACTCAAAAATTGACTAATCATATGTCTATCAATGCTGAGGCTTCCACAAGCTTCGCAAGTCAACGAACGTAGCCACCCGTCGGATGTACAATCGGGTTAGTACAATCCACAGTTCACCGATTCTAATCATTCTAAAGCCTTTCCATCATCCTTATAGAAACTCTAGCTCGCAAACCGGCGAATAGATATATACGACGAAATTTGTTATACCGCGGAAGTTCCACAAATGCACCATTCACCGATTCTAATCATTCTAAAGCTTCTTTACCCAATGTCCACCATATGAAACATTCCATCTTGCAAGTCCCCGGATCTCCGAAGCCACGCTTCACTTCCTAGTTAACATGCGAAAGTTACATTGCTCAAGTACACTTTTCATGTATCCTCGTACCCATCCCACCCATCACTATATCATTCAATCCATCAATCAACATATCCGTATGTGACAGGAGAGCCAAGGTGAGTTCATTTAATCTGCATAGGGCAAGACACTCTTCATTTCATAGGATTGTAACCATATTCCCTCCGATCCGTACCTCCTTTTCTTAGATCACCTATCGGGCATCATCCTAAATTAAATTCCCGCGTCCCCGCAAATTATGAAGGCAGTAAAATGGTGCAGTAGCATCCTCGCCGACAATTAAGGATTCTTGGGTGTTGTAGTCGCTTACTCGGGGACCTCAGACCCGGCTACCTATTTCCCGAGAGATCTCGGGAATCTCACTAACATGCAACGATCTTTCAAGAAAAAAGTAACTTTGGTCTCTACCTTCCCCTATACTGCTTTGAAACTCTCTATATTTTCGAGAAGTTCCATAATTAACTTCACTCTAGCAATGGAAAGTTTCTGGAAGGATTTTTTTGAGTTCTTTAGAAAAGTAGTCCACCACACGGGCTTCTTTGTTAGGGGGAAATATAATCGGCGACCTCAATTTTTTTTTTAGATGGGGCTGGCTTCTTCCCTTTCATGGATGAATACTTTCAAAGTACCGGTGAGAGAACAAATCTGACTACGGAGCATTGATCAAACAAAGGAAGGTAGGAAGATAGCTATGTACCTCGTAAGTACTAAGAAGTAATGAATTGGCGATTATGTACCGTTATAGGTATGTCATTTTCATGCACAAGGTGTACATTATTTCATAGTATTTTTTTTATATTTGTGGAAAGCTTGCGAAGTTTCTTGCAAGTGGAGGTCATCCTCAGTTTGATAAATTTGAGTTAATAAAGAATGGGTCAAAGAATTGTTCAATCGTATCATATTGATAGTTAAAGAAGTGAATCATTTTCTTCATATGATTATGACAGATCCTTCTAACATGGTCGAGGTATCAAAGTTGCTACTTCCCACATATCAAAATATTAGTATCAAAACTCAAAACGCTATGAAAGACACGATTCAATTTCTTAGATGAACTTAAATTTTAGTTCATGAAGATCATCTTTGTTCCATATACATATACTTCAACTTCCAACCCTATTCTTTCTCAAGATGGTTCACATTGAGATTCGGAATAAAGAATTCGCCATGATTTCAATTTCAACAATAGGAGCAAAATCAGTATTAAGTGGTGCACTGTTTGGTGCAGCACTTACTGCAGCAGGAGTTTATTCTCCTACTGTGATTATATCGCAGATGAAGTTGGAATCTTTTCATATGCTGAAAGTATTTCTATCAGCAAGTGCTACTAGCGCGTAAGTTTCCTCTCTTTTCCATACATTTCAAAGTTCTTTCGATAGAATAGCTTCACTAACACAACATAGTGCGATATTCCTCCTCGCTCATCGTCTCTCACCAACTATCGCTCCTCCTCGGCAACCTTCTTCCCTATCCCTATTTCCCTACGATGGAAATCTCATCGGAGGTCTTCTCCTCGGGACCGGTATGGCACTTACAGGCGCCTGTCCCGGGACTGTTCTCCCTCAAATCGTAACCGGTTATTCATCCGGACGTTACGCCTTACTCGGAGGAATCCTTGGCGGAATCATATATTCTTTTATCCGTCCCTTCATCCGTTCTCCCAATACTCGTCCCACCATTCCCGATTCCAAACCAACGCTATATCAAAAACTTGACCCCAAAGCCGATGAAATAAAAGCAGTATACATTTATCAAAACTTCTGTTGGGGAATCATTCTTCTTGCTTCGTGGCTTTCAAATTCTCAGGAACAAAGTGTGTTGAGTGCGACCTGGGGAGGTATCGGTATCGGGTGTGCGCAGGGAGCAAGTCTTTGGTTGACGGGGAACACTTTGGGGACTAGTGCTGCGTATGAACAAATCGGAGATCTATTCTGGTGGGGATTGGAAAGGTTGAGGAGTGGTGATGTTGTTTCTTCTGAAAAGGGTTATGAGAATGGGAATGGAAATGGGAACGGTGTATCGAAGCACCACGCAATCCCTCAACACAGACCACGTCCCTCCATCCGCTCAAACCTCTTTACTGTCGGTATCCTCCTCGGCTCCTATATTCTTTCTCATACTTTCACATTACCATCTTCTCTTCCCTCTCCTCTTCCTAAAATGTCCCTCGACACACCCACCATCCCAGAGATATCGATAATCCATGTACTTCTAGGAGGCATAGCCATGGTTCTCGGTGCACGCATAGCAGGTGGCTGTACGAGTGGGCATGGTATTAGTGGAATGAGTTTATTGAGTGTTAGTAGTATTATTAGTGTGGGAGCTATGTTTGGCGGTGGTATATTATGGGGCACTGTTGTTGGCTGATGGTCGTTTGAAAGGGAGAGAAGTTAAGGAAGGATTTAGAGAGCGAAGGAAAGAAATATCACAATGGTTTTGGGAGATAGACTGGGATCTGGTGATATATTACTGGTAATGGAGATCTTGATAGACTACTCAATGAGCTAGACTTGGACTGGGAAGAGAATTTACAGCGACTCGAATAATGGGTTTATGGGCGAAGTGACGAAAGGAATGGGACGGAAATTTGAATGGTGGAGTGGTTATACCCAGCTTGCTTACTTGCTCGCTTATCTTAATTCTTCTTTACATATTCGCATACTCGCTCATGTTGCTCACTTGAATTCAACTGTGTTTTGGGGATGAGATTGATGTTTCCAATAACTCTAACGTTTATGACATGGATGGGAGCCGTGGAAGTTAGATTGTTGTTCTTTGGGGAAGAATAATGAGGTTAAAAGTATGTATTTAGTAGCTAAGTGAACGTTTTGATATAAATGGGTCTTGAAATTGAGGATTCCAGATAAATCAGGGCATGATCAGTTAATTGCTCATCAATCACCAGGCGGCTATTGCTAAGTGGCAAGATCACTTCACGTTCTTCATTGCGGTGATATCACAAGATAAGTCACGGAATACGCGGGTCCTATCATATCGGCAAGATCATATGCAAGGATACCTGCCATTGAAATTGACTATTCTTCAACAAAATCCATCTCAAAGCAGATAAAATCATCAATCCCAAACTGAACACCCAAAAAGCAGACCAAACGCCACACTTCATCCTAAAGCCAAACACTTGCAACATGCCAAACCCTGAACACCAACTCAAAACACCATTCAAAATTCCCAGATTCTTTTTCTCTTCATATTTTCCGTATCCCAAACTCCGACAATCAAGATCAAAATCGCAAGAGAGTATCGAGTATGACAATGAATGAAGTGGAGAGAGAAAGAAAGATTAAGAAAAAACAGCCCAAAATCTCATCAAACTCCCGCAAAACTCCCAAACTCCCAATGAAAAATCCAGCGACTCAATTTTCATTCATTGCCTTCGCTATTCCATTCCTCAAAGATAAAACATTATGTTATTTGCATTACGATGCCATGGATTACCAGCGGGACTGTTCCAGATTGTGGCGTTCTGTCGATACCGAGGGACCGTCGCGTTAACCAGAACATTTCCCATTCGTCTTTGCAAAGCAGGAAACATGTAACAACGGAGGCGAGTGCACAAGATATCTGCATAATTCGCTGGTGTGCAGACCGAGAGACCCTTTGTAGCACGAGATCCCGTAAAGCAGATAAGGTTTGTCTAGTGTGAAGAGTGTTAGCAATCTAGACTAAATGGAGGCGGAGTGAAGTGGTTACTCACGATCGTTTCCAATGGCCCAAGCCCATATCCGGTCTCATCAACAATCAACACATAGTGACTTGTCCTCGCAGTACCTAGTCCGCTATCATGGCTCTGTAGGTAAAAGTTGGTGCGATTGGGATCGATAACACCCCTGTCCACTACCGTACCGGAGGGAAGATTTTTACTCGGCATCTTATTATTGTCCGGGAAGAATCTTGCATGATGGCGCTTTCCTACCACCAGGAGCGTGATCAAGGGGGTACCACCTTCATGTCTCACGACTAAACTCGCACACGCTGCACGAATTTGTGGAAGTTCTTCTTCAAGCACCATACCGTATTGGGCTTCACCAACGCCATCACGGTAAAAGAGAATGTGGGCAGGAAGATAGCCATTGTACTGATAATAAGCCTCTAGTCGCTCTTCAACCATACCTCGGAGGTCTTCGATGAACTATTGATTTGGTCAGCAAGAATATCTTTCGATAGTTAATTGTGCGCACCTCGGTATTATGGGGTTGCAGACGTGCTGAAGCGAGATAATGCACATAATTGCTATCGCGGGTAGCAACGACACCAGCTTGAGATGGGCATGCGTCATCTTGGCCCTTCCCAACATGCGTTACGTCAGCACCCATGATCATTGTCCGATCTCGTAGCGGTAAATTCGATATTCTATGATTTATACCTCCTAGCTTGAAATTTATCTTAAGACTAAGAAATGTGGTTAGTTATGATGAATGAAGGTTTTTGTACGAGAATGAACCTACGCAATGTTTGCCAACAAGCCCAAATCAGGTCTAGCACCTCTATCAACACCATCTCTGCTAACACAGACAGTCGGTATGCCACAGACACAATCTCCCCACCATTTGACATCTGAGTACAGCTCGGGTTCACTCTTCTTGCCATTGGGCAGGAGAACAACGATAAGCGGAGGATCGAACCCTCCACCCCGTTGCTTCAATCTAGCAACTGCACGATCCAACGTAGCACTGAACGCTGCGCGCCTCGCACTAGGATTTGCAATCGCTGATATCGGAGCATTCTCTATGAAGCTTGCACTATTTCCTGTAGAAAAACCGTAGCGGGGGAGATCGGCACATAAAACGCCTGCGAACTGAGTCGCTCTTGTCGGAGGCACCAGATTTTGAGGGTTTTTATTAATATAGATCAAATAGAGGACAGGATATGGATTGCCAATTACAGCAAAGCCTCGATCATTACGATTAGGATCATTTGCAACCTCGTTAAGGTTCCAACCTGCTGGATTGGCCCGAGCCGTTCTCACAGTAAAATCATGACCGAACTTCAGCTCAGGGGGGGGCAATTGTCGAACTCTATCCAGCGATAGAAAACCGGGTTGAACGTCAAGCCCAAATGCCTCGAACAATTAGCTCAAAGGTTACTCTGGATTGGTTGGAGTTCACTTACACGGTAATGGTCAGGTGATGGTGGTAGACCGAGGAGAGGCATGGCAGTGTCCCTGAGATTGGCTTGATTGACTAGTGGTGTCTTAGTTGCCAAAGTCAGCATTTGCTGGGTTATTTCTATGCCGGCCTTTTTTCCAGCGGGCTGCCACAAGCAAATCTCAAGCATATCTGCTGGGTACCATATTCCTTTTTTTCCTGGAATGGTACTTCCTACATTGACACACCAAGCGTTCTGAATACAACCTTGCTGATGCGTAGGATATGCTAAGCAGTACAGGGATTAGTTTTTTCGGATGAAGAAAGACTGAAACGAAGAGGATGCTAGATTGTGAAACTTACTATTGGTCATATGTTGCCAAACAGTGATAGATTGCCCATTATCTTTGGTAAAGGTTTTCACGCCGACAGGTTGACCGTCGATGCCGGTTACAGACCATTTCTTCTTGGGAGTTTTAGGATCCCCTTTAAATGTGACCTTGACACCTCTCAACTCTCTAATCACATTTGCAGAATTTGGTAACGGCAATCCGAACTTAGCCGAGATCCAATCCTCAAGCAGACATTGATGAAAAAATGCCGACGTTGTGCAATTCAAGTTGAGAAGCAATCTACCATCCCCAGGGCGCATGGAGCTGAAGAATCCGTCACAGAGATCCCATAGCGGTCTCTGGCGCTTTTGGGTATTATTCACGGTAGAGTATGGAGCGCTTTCAGGGTAGAACTTATTTCCCAATCGACCCCCCCGAAAGGTATCCGGAAATATCATCTGCCAAGATATAATGTTTAAAGACTTGAGATCTTCACCAGGGTGGTAGGTCATATCCCTTTCAGGAACACGGTTTACAAAACGCCTTAACTCGGCAAGGTTGACAATACGTTCGTAGATAAGACTTGTTGATATGAATAGCGGAGCTAAAGTTGGGTCCGCAGAGGTTAGCTGGTGATCTCTGGTAACAGCATTGCCTATAGCATCGCCACAATCAGGGTAAAGTCTTCCAACCGAGATTATGTAGCAAAAGAAATCAGTGGCATAGAATGTAGCTGGAGGATTTGCAGCCAGCATTTGGTTGATCATCGCTCTCTTCAAGTCGGGTTTCACGATGGACCTATATGTGATAATGCCATCTCCGTCACGGTTTGGCATCTTTCCGAATTCTACACGGTACCTTCGAAGGTTGATGGTAGGGTCCGTGATTCTGACTTCCAGGAAATTTGCCCTAATTCTGTTGTTGCCAGAAGCTGGGAGTTGATTATTAGAAGGATATCCAGCGAGGCGAAGACTTGCCCCCGTCCACTTTTCACAATTTTCCTTCCTTATCTCCGCCTCTGTCTTCTCTTCGCTTCGATCTTCAACTCCATCACCTGAAGATGGTTGACTTTGAGTTTGACTTTGGGGTTGACCCGAGGCCTGGCTTGTCTGATGTGGTTGACTTGATTCGCTTGGCAGACTCTTATTGGGTCTAGACTGATTAGTAGACGAGCCAGGTGCTGCGGGACTAGACGCTGAGAGAATAGGTGCCAGAGGATTATATTTCTTAGAGCAGGATGCTGATGTGCCGGTCTCAGATGTGCCGGATTTCGAGGGAGTAGATGTCAATGTCGTAGAAGGCGGGGACTGTGCGTAGCGTCCTTTCTTGAATTTTTTATTGTAATTATCTCTACGCTCTTCCCTCCGAGACTCTGGCCGTGCTTTTTGAATCTGGCTGGCAGTTCTGTATTTAGGGAGAGTGAATTGCTCAAGATGAGAGTCAAAACTCTGATCTAACATACATTCACGCTTGTCATGCCATCCATGACCACAATTACTACACGCGTTTGCCTTGGATTCCTTGCATTGATGGGGCTCATGATCTTTTGTACAGAAGTCGCATTGTCGCACTTCATCAAATCTCCGGTAGGGATTAATTTCTGGATCCAACGAACAGTGCTGAGTTCTTCGATTTTCTGATTGTCCGGCTTTGCACAGGGCACAATTTCGTACATACAGCTGCATCTTGATATCTCTGAGCGAGGATCTTTCAGTAAGGTAGAATTTGAGAATGAAAAGATCGGAATGGAGAAGTGAAAGGGGCAGATTTGGAATGCGCCTGAATACTAATGATTATCCACTTCCACAGGAAATGTTCATGTTCTTATACCGGTTTTTGTGAAAGCCTCTCTAAGTTACATTCGTTTTCTTTGGTAAGATCCATATCACATACTTTGCCCAGGTTTGATGGCCACCAGGTCGATTGGTCTGGTGAATGGCATTTTCGAACTACATGAAACAGTCACGCCTGTGGGAAGCAGTTCACGATCTTTCGTGAGATGCGCGTTTTTTCCTTACTTCAGTTCCCATTGAAGTGATTTCATTATCACATGAGGCTCTGCAATCGTTGCATGAAGCATCTTAAGTATACATCCACAGGTGCAGATGTTATTTGCGAGCATTTGGCAAGGCATGGGCTGCTATCAAACTATCTCAAGCATGAAACACGTGTTTTTGCAGCAAACTTAGATCATGTGAATAGATATATAGCTCACAGACCTGACGAAATAGCAAAAATGAACTTCTCTTTGATACATTTGATTGATGGAGATAATCCTTGTGGCACAAAATGACATGCCTACTCTCCTAGAACTACGAGATCAGAAGCATCAGAAAAGAGAAAACATGAAGCCGCGAATCGGGACGCATCTTTGAACGATCTCTCGAGAGCATGTGGTAATTTCCAGAGTTTACTCTTGCATCTCCACCCAGATGCTGTAGACTACATCTTCAGTCGATGATTCCAAAGTGATTTCATAATGATGGGATTACTAATTTGCGGGATTAACAATGTAAATGAATGAGAGAGGAGGATAGTCTGAAGACTATCGGGAAAGAATGGAGGAATTTTGGGGTTATTATTGGTTGTCTAACCGACGGGCCATGTACTGGTAGCAGTACATACATGCAAATCCGATCACATCTCCCAGCATCCAGAAATTCCTCATCAAGTGATAACGAATCCCATATCCCCTATCCGCCGAAATTTCCAAATCTTACAGCTAGTTCACCAAATCATGTATTCAGAACTTAATTGATATCATGTATGGTTCTTTGAGACTCCATCCTATCGTCTTACCATATCCCCAGAATCAAGAATCTTTCTGTGATTCACCACTATAACTTTGGGAAATGATTTTGCCCTGGAATATAGTTCTCAAACTCGGCTGATCGAGATGTACCTGAAATAAAAATGATGACTTTTGCTGTTACTTGTTACCAAGTAGCTAGCATCTCAGGTATCAGAATCTATCGCTGAGTGAATGCAATTACCGCGAGACTGCAGATACTCCTGAATACCCCTGAATACTCATGCTGAAGCTAAAATGCCCATCGCGAAAGGTATTACATCGCAGAATAAAGTCACTCGTGGGGATATAGAAAGTATGTCTCAGCTCTATCCTGCATGTTCGTCAATTGAATGCATACTACTAGACTACATGCTGTCTTTTTCATTTCATAGTGGATCAACTTTTTTATCTTATGTTTTGACCTTGAAGAGATATCGCAGCTACGAAGCGACCTTCCGAGGGAATTCCCTTTCTGAGCCTACGAACAGATGAGCAGGAATATAACATAGAAAAATTGGGGCTAGTAAACGACAGTGTACTATGAACAATTGAATATCGAATGGTTCTCGAATACCAGAATTCAAATGAGAGACTTCTTCCAAGGTTCTTCCACTAACAATTCAGGCCTGGATCTAACGCTGCAAGGTTTCTATATCTGCACGTATTATCACCAATAGAGGAGACTATCCCAAATGCTATCCAGAGCCCATCATCTATAAATCTTTCATAGACTCACCTATTCCTCACAAAAAGAAGATAAAATGCACAGAAAGCTCAACACACGTGAGTGAGCATTGATTCTTGAATGGTCACTACCCCATCCCTTACCTTGAGACCCATAACCGGCCTATGTATCCTAGCTTGAAGCGACCAACCAATCGCTCTTCCCCAAGTTCACGACTTCGAAACTTGGAGATTGAAATAAAGCATATATAATCACCATGAAATACCCAAACCAATAGATTTCGCAACGAATCCCCTTTACTGACATCTGAATCTTAGGTAATGCCAGTCTAGATGATTCATATATTGTGGCGTTGAATATTAATGGTAAAGTAACCCACATACATACGCCACCAGGTAGAAGACTGCAATGAGCAACAAAGTGGGGGAATGGGGGAATGGCTTGCTCGTGTCTGCGGACGTTGATTAGAAAACTTAGGTAAGTCATGCCCAATCTTCAAATAGAATGGTAAGAGAGTGTTAGTATGAAGATATCAATATATTGATACTATGTCGAACATGTTAACTATAACATGTGAGCGTACCGACTCGGTAAGGGAGCCCGAGTAGATTGTAGATCTCGATGTCTAGCATATTGACGTATTGACTTGTGAATTTGTTGATATATCAATTTGTTAATCTCCTCGTGTGCCGACTGATGAATGAGATGAAGAGATGATAAGGATAGCTTCATGGGTTGTTTGTTTTTTTTCGACGGTCTCGACCTTTCTATCAATCTTTATGTTGATCAATCAAGAAAATCTTCAAGTATGCTTGCATGCTTGTACGTTGGGGAGTGACGACATCGGCTCTATGTCCCGATTGTATAATGGAGGGTGTGGCAGATGAAACATTGTGAGAAAAAGGAATAAAGTTATTGAATTGGATGGAATCAATATAACAGTTGGAAATAAAAATGAAAAACAAAAATAGAAATAGAAATGCCTAGCAAAATTTAATAAAGAAATACAATAAAATAAATAATACAAATATTGTTCTTATCATTATTATTATTATTTGATATCAAAAAACTCAATTCAATTGTAAACAATGAATGACTCAAATCCAAGGCATATGGGAGTCATTGTTACATAACGTTGTCAGAGTGGCTGATTTCGACTCATTCTTATGAAGATTCCCACTTTGATAAATTGGCCACCACTCGGTATCAAATCCTTTGGGTTCTCTGTGATATCAAAAACATAAGAACATCAATCTCGATATCAACATCAACAGACAAGAAGATCAACAACGCACAAGGAAAAAAACATATCATCTGCATTTCTTTCTTACCGACTGATTATACGACAACCTTGCTGACAATCGACTCAATTAACTCACTCCATCGTACACCAAGAAAGTCGTATTCCGTTATCTAGATCAACATTCCATACGGTCTTTTCAACATCATTCTATACCTATTCGTGACAACCCTCCGAGACCTCTTATGCCCAGCTCATCAATACCTCCTCAATCTTTAGATACCATGACATCCAATCTTTCAAACTCAACAGGTCAGAAGCTCTATTTACATATTCACCGCCTTCATCTTTGCTTGATTTTCCCTATCTTCCCCTTATGCATCAACCTTAAAACCCGGGTTGTAGTGCATATTATGGCTTTCTGCCTAGGGTCATCTGCTTGCTTCAATTGAACTGATGCGTTGGCAGATACTACAAACGAACATGATTCCGCCTCACAAGCTCTCGAACCTCATTCTCCAAAGCCGCTGAAAACAAGGATATGTCGCTATTTCAGTAAATCAGGTAAATTCTCATTTTATTTTATTCATCCATCAGTTGTTTTGGAATATTTTCATTGGATTGCCGGAAATTGGGGAGGAAAGAGAATTGGAGAAGGGTATTGTCTTGCATATGGGGTAATGCAAAGTTGCATGATGTTGCAGTCATGGTGGAGATCCCGTGATTCACCGATCATCGGTAATGAGCGTGGGATGTTGATATGATCATGGAGATGAATGGTTGGGGGTTATTCGTTGGACCGTGGCGTTTGTCATGAGGCGTTCGTATCATTACAATTGTCATTGCCATTGGGTATATCTTGGGTTACACCACGTGATATTGGAAACACATGTGAAAGCACATGAAGAGGAAGCCAGCTATGCGATGATGACAAGGTACTAATATTGATATCTTAGGGAATTGTCGAGCTGGTGACAGCTGCTCATTCATCCATGACCCGACGAAACTTCCTAGCCGTGCCACGGTAAATAAAACAGTGCCCGAGGTTTCTCAGGCTTCGATATCGGAAGCTACACAAAGACAAAATGTGATTCAAAATCATTCATCACAAGCTACCACAAATTTTGTTCCAGCATCACGGGTGGTATCAAAGCCGGTACCACAAGCACAAACTGAAAACCCTCGAGAATTTCAGCTAGGACAAATTCGAAGACGATTTTCCCCCAAGGAGATTCGACCATCTGGAAATGCCGAGGGTACTACTATTCTAAAGTTCAATCTCACACCATCGGATCCAGATTTCCCTTTTGAGATGACTGCTTTGGAATGTTCTCTTACAGTGCCTCCTCGATATCCTACTTCCCCACCTAGTTTGAGGGTAGAGAATAAGGATATTCCCAGAGGATTTGCTATCAATGTGGAGAATGGCTTCGATCAATTGATTAACGAAAAGGAGAATGCTACCTTGTTGGATTTGATGAAATCATTGGATAAGCACCTGGAAGAGTTTTTATCTGCGCAAAAAGCCGAGACAGTTAAAATTGTCATGAACAAAGACACGCGACATCTCTCCATTCCGAGCAGAGAAGTACAACTTGTGGTTCTACCACCTCAGCCTGAATCTGCAATGAAAGAATCAGAACAACCCAAGGTTACTCCAGTTAAAGCAATTGTAAGTTTCACGGAATCCGAGAAAGCTGAGGCATCGAAAAAAAGAGAACTAGAAACCAGACAATTGGAAGCGAGAATGGGTAGATTACCCCTTTACAAGAAATCCAGCGATGGGATTGCATATACCGTGCCAATTGAACCCCGGAAACGAGGTGATTTGCCACCGTCGATCAAAGCTGTTAAAGCCATTCAACTTTTTGTGCCCACAATCTATCCACTCGAACCTTGTCGAATCAAATTGGAAGGAGTAGATGCTCCGGAAGCAAAATCTGTAGAGAAAGAATTTGGACAGAAAGCTGAAGAAGCAAAAGCTTTGAACTTGATGGGTTATATTAATTACCTTGCACAAAATATGCACGTTCTTGCAAAGACTGTCTTGAATACAGAGCCGAAACCTACTCCTGTTGTACGAACACCGTCGCCTGTTGTTGAAGAACAAAAGGAAGTCAAGGGGAAAAGTATTTCCACCGATGAGAATGAAGAGAAGAGTCACATTCAGTATATTGCTCGACCACCCGAGTGGACGATTGTCAATGCTGAGGATGCAGAGTACTCTGACTCTGACTCGATGTACTCTTATGACAGCGGTGACGAATCAGAAACCGATGAAGGAGGAGTTGGAGTTGAGCATGAACCTGAAAACCCAACACCCAATCCTGAACGCGGTACAGCTATATCATTCCCCTTTATTGAACTTTATGGCATCGAGTTATTGGAGGTTACTACCTTGAACATCACTGTCAAATGTTCTCGCTGCAGGGAGATTACAGAAATCAAAGGTCTTAAAACTGGAGTTCAAGAGACCGAGACATGTAGGAAATGCGCAACTGCACTTGCAATTTGCTACCGTGGAGATTTCGTTCACGCAAGCAATGTCCGAGCTGGATTCTTGGATTTGGAAGGATGTGTAGTTAGTGATATGTTACCTAGGTAAGTCACATTATGTTTTTTTCTCCACTCCACTCCAGCCTAACCAAACACAAACAGTACATTCAGGCCAACATGCTCCACATGTTCCACCGTATATCCAGCTCCTGGAATCGTTTCTATCCGCGGTGAAACAACTACAAATGTTTGTCGAGAATGTCATTCCAAGTTCACCTTTTCAATTCCTACTATAAAGTTTCTTCACATCTCTTCCTCAGCAACTCCTCATAATCTCCTCCCTAGAAAGAAGAAAGAAACTCTCGGTATTGTCCCTGGTACTCCTTTGCCCAAAAATGGCCTCTGTCGCCATTACGGTAAAAGTTACCGCTGGTTTCGTTTTAGTTGTTGCGAAAAGGTATATCCATGTGATAAATGTCATGATGAAACAGAAGAACATGTAAATGAATGGGCTAAGAAAATGATCTGCGGATGGTGTAGTAGAGAGGGGAATTATAGACCAGAAGATTGTGCAGGATGCGGAGAGAGGGTGATTAGTCGGAGGAGGGGAGGAGCGAGTTTCTGGGAGGGAGGAAAGGGAACGAGAGATAAGACGAGGATGAGTAGAAAGGATAAGAGGAAGTATAGGAGGGTTGGTGGTGGGACGGTGAAGAAGACTTGAGATGGTTGAGTAAATGGTTGAGTAAATGGTTGAGTTGAGGCTCTGACGGTACTTTAGTACTTGCGAAATCATTTTGAGAATATTTTCTATTCACTTGATGTATCGATAACTTTCTCGAAATGTCCAACAATCTAGACTCAATAGACCCTCAACCAAAAACATCTACACCCCCATACTCACACACTCTCTTTTCCCACACCACAAGTTACAGCCACCAATACCAATAACCCTGTTTAGCATTCCAGCATCGATCCCCGCAAAAGTCTAATTAATGAACAAGTATACAAATATTAATCTCACTCAAACTATCCCTTGAACAAAACACACCACCCCTTTCCTTCCAATACCCAACCATCACATCTCGGTATCACATCTCACAAACTCCTCCCCTTCCTCTCATACCTAGCAATACCTACCCATCCATCCCGACCCCGATCCTGCTCCCGATCCGAAACGCACGCACGCACGCACGCAATTCCCGAAACCGAATTCGTGTTGCCATATCCTTTCTTTCTACTTGCTTTTTTCGACGCTGCCAAGATATCGGGCTGGGCTAGCTAACAGTCCATGCAGACCATTCATTAATCGTGTTGGCAGTGTTGTATCTTTTCCGAGAACCGGGGATGAATGTATGGATATGTATGTTGTGAATAATTATTATTTATATATTTGTTTATCGTGAATTATCGTGATATGTATGTCTAGAGGGAGGAGGGACTATTGTTATTTTTACTTTATTTTTATTCTTTTTTGTTTTGTTTTGTGGGTTTGGTAGTATGTTACAGTACAGAACGAATCATGAATAAAACACAATACAAATTCACGAATTAATTTATTTTTGTATGCTCGACTTGGCTGGACCTGGTTTATCACTCTAGACTTTTGGTTTTGAAGGGTTCGAGTTGATTCCGAGTTGTTATTTATTTATTCAGGACTTTTTGCTTTAAGGATTTGATAGTGTAGATAGAGTAAAGATATACATGCATACACCCACTCGATTCATTCATTCATCAAATATCTATTTTCCATAAATATTAAATCAATTTAATTCATTTATTCAATCCATCAAATAGATTTAATCATCAATTAACCTAGTAATCCATACACGCGTACCGGTACAAACACACACACAAGCCCTTCTTCCCCTCATGTTCCTATTCATCCCCTCCTCGCTTCCCCGGCCCTTCCCCTCATGCCCACGCGCACAAATCACAATGCGCGGTCTGTAAGCGATACAATATCCATTGAGTGTGTACACAGATGCACACATTTCGATTTTCCACATGCATATTGGTATGCATAGGGAGGGTAGGAGTGCATATTGATATCTCACAACCCCACTTGCGGACGCGGTGTAGGGTTGAAGAAATGATGGAGAGGTACACGGCGTGGGTTTTGTGGTACCGATCTCTTTTGGGGGTGTTTTGGTAAGTAGGTAGGTTGGTAGATATTTATCTACTTACCAGATCATAAAATGAGAATCCGGCTGGATTTTGGCGGGAAGGAAAAATCGTATAGACATATAATCTTGGTAAATATATACAGATTAATTCCGTATACTTACCAATTATCTTTGCGATATTCACAGTACCCTATAGCTAGAGCAAAGGAACGAACTATAACCTATAGATAAGTATTTTTCTTTCAATGAGATGCGAACAGACATAGTTATATAATAAGTTATACTTTCCAATCATCTATATTCATATCTCAAATACCGAAGAATATACTAGGGTATAACATCCATCTTTACATCCATCTATCTATCAATCACTTAACCACTCTCTCATAGTTCAAGATATATGAATACGAGTACACTCCCCCAGAAACTTTGAACAGTATTCGCAATAGTGATGAGTGAGTAAGTGAGTGAGTAAGTGAGTGAGTAAGTGAGTGAGTAAGTGAGTGAGTGAGTGAGTAACTAAGCACACAAATACAAGCCTCACGGAGACATCTCCGCTGCTAAGAAATCGAAGGATATCGCTATGTATGTATATTTGCAAGTAATCATTACACACACACTCAGACATACACCATACCCACATATATATACCCCAAGATGAAAAACAGAGTGATATCATGTGCTACATATTACACACCACACTCTCGTTACACAGATACCCCATTATCCATTCATCATCATCCACCACCCATTGACATCCATCCATATCCATTCACCATCATCAATCAATCAATCGATCGACCGACCCAACATCGGAAACTTTGCCCCCCCCCCCCCTTCTCTCCCCTTCCTCTACATATACATATATATATACCCAACCTACAAAACCTCTCTCATCCGCACTCTATATAACATACATACAATATACAATATACCAAATCATCTCGCTCCCCAAGACTAGCTCTCTCCCCAAATACTCCAACCGCACAGTTCTATTTCTCATATGTCATAAGTATCAAAGTAACAAAGTTAGCAAAGTGATGAAGAAAGACAACTAACTCATTGCTGAAATCTTGATGATTTGCTTTTTTATGTTTTGTGTTTTGTGTTTTGTGTGCTGCAATCATTGCGATGTATGTATGTATTGTTTTTTAGGTTTTTTGTTTAGATATGGATATGAATTTGATATGGATATGGATATATATCATCATCGATATATCAGCAGCAGCATAACACCACAACACCATATTCCCATCCATCCATCCATCCGTTCATCCAGTCATCAACCAATACACATCCACATCACCATCCATTCTCCGTAAACCACCACAACCACCACAAACCCCCAAGCCCAATCATTTCCCCAGTTCTCCACCTCTGCATCCCTATCCTCGCAGCACTCCTTGTTCCCATACACCACATATCACACATCGCAAATCACCCATCACCCATATCACCCATCGCACAACACCACACAACATACCGCTATCCAACCTACCACAACCCAACATAGCCTACCGCAACACAACATACGATACCATACCAACCATCCCATTCAATCCCATCCAATCCCACTCAGCCCAACCAAACCCAGCACAACACAACACAACTCACCACACCACAAAAAAACACCCAGCAAATCCCGACCGCTTTCGCCACGCATGGAAACTCTCCGACATCTGCATTCACCTACCCGAGTACTCGGAATTATAGGTTGGAGAATTTGCAGCTGGGGGGAGTGATTCAACGATGCTGATGAATGAGTGATACACCATGAACCACTAGATGAGTTTGGTATATACTTGGTTGTGCGGTGATGCATACATCCACTAAGAGCATGATATCTTGAACGCCATATATTATTCACTATGTATAGGTACCTAGATCAGATAGAACAGATTCAAACTCATGGATCTGATCTGATCTGTACAAAGAAGTCTCACAACTATCAGACAATTCCCCAAAAAATAGATCTCAAAACAGAGAGATAAGACATGACTTTTCCTGAAAACCTCTATGTGAGTATTACTCCATTGTTTCCATTATTTCCCATTATTTCAACTATCTCTAATACTCTCACTCAAGTAAATCGGACGATACAAAATCTTGCCCATCAAATAATCATCAACCATCCATTGAAAATTCAAAACAACCATACCATCTCATCATTCTGTTTCAAATTTAAACTCCTCGATCTCGATGTACATGTTCAATACTCATTCATGCCCATACCTTTTTCACAATCACAAGATGCGTATAACTTCATCCTGCACAATCAGTACGTCTCGAGTCTCGATGCTGCATATGCAGCCCACTACCTCCGTCCACCAAATTTCGGGATCCGTACAGAGAGAATGAGTGAAAGAAACAAATAACACTCTATTTGAGTTTTCCAAATCTACCATGCGACTGACATGGTTGGTATGGAAAAACTCCATACCAAGTAAGAAAGAAAAACATCTTCGATTCCTCCTACCAATGGGAACAATACATTGTCATCCCCCTCTCTCATTTCCATTAAAACTCTAAATCGACTCCAAATTCCCTTTCCACTAGAATACATACGTCAGTAGGAAGTCAATCCACCCAAAAGTGAAATGGTACAGCCGAGCCGTCTGTCTCAAAGAGCCAGAGTATAATTAACATGTCTTGTCTCACCGTCTCCACCAAGTCCACCAATTCCATGTGTCCCATGAACCAAACAGCACAGTCCAAGTTGCTAAAATTCCTAGACTCATCTCATCTCCCATGCGTAGCCCAATTCCAACGGTCGGTACCGGTACTCGATTTCTGTCTCCCCCCCCCTCTCCCAAAATCCTCAAAAATATCGTAATACAAAAAGAAACCCCGAAAGAGAGGGAAAAAAAAAATCATTCCGGAACGATTCATTCCCCACCAAACTCCACATCTGCATATTCGGAAGCGAAACTTTTCACTTCCAACCCGTTTCTCCCCTTGCTCTTTGCAAATACTGCCGGGGACCATGTCTTCATGTATGTATGCATCGTGATGTGATGTGACATCAATTTTTGATTCCCACCTATCCATCTAAATAACACAGATGTTTAAGCACGGTGAGACAATCTAGAGCCCGGAAAACTACTTCTGGGAAAGAAGAAGGAAATTAAGTGATGTTTTTTTCCAGCCGTGCCAGCCTAGCACACATAGTCTGGAAGGTAGATAGAATGATGGAAGAACACATGGAAGCATGGATGAAAAAGATAAATGGATCAATGGATAAATGAAAGGATAGAAGAGACGGTGTAAGGACAAACAAACGATCTGGGCTCATCGCTTGATAGGTAATTTTTATCTAGAAACGTGTGATGTGGATTTTGATTATTTTGAGATTGATTGATTTGTCTGTGTTGGCTTGTTTCGGGAATCTGCGATGAGAGATTGTGATTTATGGGATAGGCAAAGAGCTAGATAGGGTTTGCACGTACCGTTTGTTGTATCTTCCAATCTTCCAGAGTTATTTTCCCAAGATAATTTTTAGGCATCATGAGAAAACTCGGGTTCCCGTGATTTGATTGAATTGAAGTCCATTCCATCCTGGAACACGTGCTATAACCTTACCGCCGATGACCAAATTTACAAACACATCTTCGTGGGGGTTATACCTACCAAATCAGATTTTGCATATGAAGGATTTCACTCAAAATCTACCTTCCGTTTTGGAACCAAATCCCCTACCCGATAAACTCTTATCCGGACCCCCAATAACGGGTATCAAGTACCCATCGATTGTCATTATCAATCCCTTCATCAAAGTTCAAACCCCCATTTCACAATCAAACCCTCCAACCGATGTAATAAACGTGAGAGTGGAGTACCTACGCCCGTAACATCGGTAAAGAGATAGATCGAATTAGGAAATTGATGTAACATGTATACCATTGACACCTCGCTTCCGTATAGCGATAAAGCGCATGTAACGTTTGTACATGGGATTTTCCAGATTGCGTTGTATGCCTCGCGTGGGAATTTGGAAATTTGATAACCTTGGGATTTTGGGGGGATTCAAATCCTAGATGTCGGTTCGCGAATTGGGGATCACAAACCTGTGTTCCTCGTGGGATAGAACAAGTTGGATTGGGATTGAGATGAATGGGAAGTTTGGAACTCGGGATTGGGATAAATTGCATCTAGGTTTACGCGTAGCTGCCTTGTACATGCGAAGATGGTTACCTGATAGATAGATAATCTGCGATGAATATTCTTGCGACGACGATGATCTCTTGTGCATTTGAGCTCCAAGCCAGAAGCATCTCACATGATATCCAAATTGACCTTTGTCGTTCGCATATCGTCAGTATAGAGTAACTTGTGAATAACTAGACCTCGGCACTCACTTCACCTATTCCATCTTTCTGGACATCCTCACTCGTGATTCAAAGTCACATGACCAATCCCAACCCAAATCACTCCCCTCCGCATTTCCTATTCCAGTCATTCCTAATCCCCAAACCATCCCCTGCAATCCCATTATCCCAATCACGCGCATCCAGCATCCAGACTCTTCACGCCCAAAGTTCCAGCTCCAATTCCTCGGAGGCATCCCACATTACGCTTGAAGTCCCTACCGGGCCGAATACCATCTCAAGTCATCCTGACTTCCCCACTCCCAGGATGCGCCCAAACCCCCAAAACCGCCGTGCGAAAATTCACATGAATACTGGTCCGGCTGCCAGGATCTCTTTACGCGACCTAATCCCGGAGTATCGTCCACCATTGGCAATCTGTAGAACGGGAGGCGATGAGGAGCAGGGATTGGTAGGGCAAACAAACAGGGCTACCACGCTTTTTCGCTACGGTGCCAATTACCACGCGTGGGTTTTGACACATGATTTAGAATCGGGGTATTGATGCCCTATTGTGTTGGTGTGGTTAAATTGATATGAGTCGCGTGGTTGGTTGGGATAAAATGAATGGGTAATTTGGAGGGTGAACTTCTGGGATGGGTATTTTTGGTATGGAAGGATGGTCTGGATGATTCCGGATATGTTTTTCAAGCGAATGAATGATTGGACCGCTGAATGAATTCGAGGAAGGAGGGGTTTGCCAAAGAACTATTGAGGAAATAGTTCACAATTTCGTAATGGTACCTGCATAAGTCCATTTACCCTTTAAACATATCCAAAGAGACTCTATTGAGATGTGAGATGAAGTGAAGCGTGATATATTCTCACAAATCTACTATACTCCATTAAACACACGACGACGAGATCCTCTGATTCGAGTGAAAAGCCAAAGTCCAGACCGCAAAATGATCCCTGGTGATAAAAGGTAAAAATCATGTGAAAAATTCTAGACCCAATCTTGATCTCGTGTTTGTGTCGCGGCCAGGCGGCTCATTCAAATTTTACCGGCGCTCGGATAAATTGGTCCGCCAATTTTCCGTCCAATGAATACGAGGGGATTTGAAGAGGGAGGTTTGGAGGTTTACGAAGTACAGAGTAATCAGCTGGTGATGTTGAAATCCTTAGGCAAATACTATTGTTGTATGGTGTCCTGATACTGGCTATCATCACGTTATGAAATAGAGAGATAGATGTGTATTGTTATCGAATACCATCTACTATCATCGCGAGAAGACTTTACCACCAATACACACAATTTCCCCCCAAACTCTCTTCCAGAATCTTACCCTCACCCTCATCATCACGGCACGGTAAATTCCCACCCGCAAGCCATTTTCTCTTGGCCGTATCGATCCATCTAACTCCGCTATGATATTCCACATCGTCACGTCTACATCGCGCAAGCAAACTACCATATCAAGTACTCAATGACCGAGCAGCATCACCCGTTTCTCCCCGTTGAAGAATGAAATCTCATCTCACTGCCCGTATCATCCTCCTCTATCACATGAAGTGATAAAATCTTTTGCTTACACGCCTCATCGTCTCGGGTGAGATTTTGGGTTCCCCATCCAGCCCCGCTCAGCATGCTCCGCGAAGGGTAGCAATCTTATCTATCCTTTACTTGATTACCGTCTGTTCGTCTTACATACATTCATAGGTATTTATCGATTCTATTACTGCATGATACTGATATACATGACATTCTCTCCGGTCATATACTTGAACAAGGCTTGAGAATAGAAAACCGTTGTATATCTGCATGCATGTATGTCTGTATGCACAAAGGGTAGTAATCTTTCACAGGCTGTATTCACTTCTAGAACCTGCAAGGACTTTTGTGACCATCTGGAAGCAACGAGCGAGTGAGCAAGGCGTGAAATCTTGCTGGGAATTGATGATATCGGAATACTCGATATAGTATCTCTTCCGTGGTTCCAAATCCTCCACTTCTGATGATCCCGACTCAAATCTCGTACTTGGGTAGATGAAAATAAACCCAAGTAGAAATCGAATAAAAATATTCGAAAAGAAAAATAAAATAATAAAAATAAAATAAAATAAAATAATAATAATAATAATAATAATAATAATCCGAATAAAAAGATTGAAAAGAATATCGACTCAAAGACAAAAGAAAAACCCCTGTTTCTCATCTCTCCCTCCAATCCCCAATTTCAAAATAAACTTTGAGTCATTCCCATACAGAGATCCCCGAAAAGAATGAGATCAACCACTTCCCATCCATAAAGCAATCCACGGGTCGCGGAAACATTGATACCGGTTCGTTAATCAATAGAATCAAAATCACATCAATGCGTACCCAGCATAGTAGAGCAAGTCCAACCCAATTGGGCGTCAAGGAAGGGTTTCTAGAAGATTTCCCAATCGATTCTGGATGGGTGGGAGATGAGCTTGTTTGAAGCTATACTGAATGTGCGTGAGAAATCGGCATGTTAGAGCAGGAGAGTTTCGAAGGGACTCGGGGAGGGGAAGAATAGAATCCGGGGATGGAGACTAGAAACGCCACGACCACGGGAAGGAAAAGTCTAAGAGAGCACAAGTAAGTCCAAAAAGGTTATATCTCCGGTGCTTGCGAAAGTTAAAAGGAGATTAGATTCATATGATGTTTTGGATGAGATGATATAAATGACGTTTGCGTATACATTACGAAGTCCTAACAGATTTACTGGGGAATGTGAAACTATCCACGAATGAATTGGGAAGAACTGGGTAAAAGATACTTTTGAGCAAAGTGTGAATGGATCGAATGAAGGAAAGAAAGCACTGACAAGCTTTTTTTCTCTCAGGACGACCCAGGGTCTTGACTTGCTTAGGTAGCCTTTTGACTATTTTGGGAAAAAAAGGGGTGGTGTGGTTTTGTGGAGTGCATGAACCTCTTGAAATTCCACGAGGTATGCATTTCGTACAGAGAACTGGTAATAAATATCCTATGCTATGCATTAAGAATGTAACGATGAGTAGGATGAATGATTGATAATCGATAACTGATATATATCATGCATTTGATTGATTCAAATCAGTCCGGAAATCAATGGTATGGAAAATATACATTGAATAATGTATTTATGCGATTGATACTATTGATCCTGATATCACGACTCAGTCAACATATCTCCCCATACGTGCGTTCTCAAACACATTGGTATACGCATAGTACATGGCACATGGCATATAGCGCAGAGTGAAATATGATATGGTAAACACAGTTACAACATTCTACATACGGACACAGTAAACGGGTAATCCCGAGTCCTCATATAAGTTTCACAAACCTCAAATATCCTATTCAGCTTCTTCTCTGTGGGAGCTCAGAGCTCAGAGCTCATAGCACATCACATCACATAGCACATCACATAGCACCCACCAAATTGCACACACATCACAAATGGCACATACATAGCACATTTATAGCACACATCCAGCAAGCCCTCAAACTCCATACCCAAATCCGAAACACGTATACTTCCCGTTTCGTCTCCTCATCGGGGAGCGCACACAAGCTACGCAAACCGCACACGCAAAACCCAAGCGCTTGCTCCATCATGCTGTTCCCGTTCTTTGACTTTGTACTACCACCACTACAACAGCAACAACAAGAACAAGAAGAAGAACGACGATCCATCCATCCATTTAGTGAGTATATCCTTCAAAGGATCACAAATGAATCCAAGCTCATCACCTAAATCAAGTCTGTGATATTCTTCATCAATGATTCACTTATTGATCTCCCTTTTCTCTATCAAATCCATACAAACATTTACCTACATCCATCCTTCATCCACCTTCATTTCCCATTCCCATTTCCATCCTATCTCCGCTTCCCAACTCCCAACTACTGTTCCAGAACAAAATGACCCAAACCAATTCACTCTTCCATCTCTCCGAAATATCGGTTCAGACACCAGTTCAGACTCAGGTTCATCAAGCCCACACACACACACACACACACACACACACACACACAAGCACACAAGTAATCACACACCCATCCCCCAAAAACATTGCGCGCTGCCCCGAGCGTTTTCTCCTCCCATGAGTCCCATCCCATGGCGACCATGAACATGACCATGAACATGAACATGAACAAACCTCCGCCTGCCAATCTCCTCGAATCTTCCGGCGCTCAACCGCCGGTACGAGGATCCAAGCGACCCGTGGCGCCTGTTAAGGGTATTCATCGCTTCGATCCCATGTTGCCAATTTCCAAGTGCCCAGGGGATGGAAATGTTAAAAAGGGAAAATCTTGGAATGGGGTTATTTAAATAACGACGACAATAAAAATAATAAATAATAATAATAAATGAGGCGATAGGAGTGAGTGAGTGATGCAGGGATTTGTATTTATTTATTTATTTATTTTACTTTATTTTATTTTTACTTACTATTATTATTTCGCCATCACCACCGGTAAATATATACTTCAGATCAACTTTTATCTGAGTATATTTCCACTCCCATTCTATACTTAGGTCCTTGTTTTACTTCCAATCACATCACAATTACGCCTTGTCTTGCCCGTTACCAGTACCGTTCATTACCAGTACCATTACCAGTCCCCTCAAATTATCCTCACGAATCACAGTAAAGAAGAAATACCTAGATAATCTTACGTATGAACATATTTTGCACATCTCATAATTCCATCCCATCCAGCCACGCACAAAACCAAATAAATCATCACATCGCCAGATCACTGGTGGGCAAGTCCTAGCTCTAGCTACTCCGTAGGTACTTCCCTAGGATTTCATCGTCTCGGAACGAGGCTTATCACTCACTCACGGTATCGCCGTACCAATACGGAGAAGGTGCTTCTCTGATCCGTTACCTCGGTATGTATGTGAATCCCATGTAGTGTAGATTACCTACCTACCTCACATCCTACACATCCATACAAGTATACATGATTCCACGATAAAATTTGATGCGCACGAATAGGAAGTCTCCAATCTTTGAATGTTCAAAAGGTTCAAGTCAATCAGGAAATAAATAAATAAATAAATAAACATACCCAATCTGAAATTACTTATCTATTCCTACCCAGCTTTTCTCTGCTTTAGACGTATACGTAGTAGCTACTCTAGATGAAATAAAATACAGTAAAATAAAATAAAAACGTATCATGTGATTCTGATTCTGATTCTTTTCTTATTCTTCTTCTTCTTCTACTTCACATATCCATTCCAAGATTTCAACATCCATTTATTTTCTTTTTCCATCTCCTATTCCGATCCCTTATATCTCGCCATCACAACGGGGATCTCTAAACCCTCGTGCGATCTTTCTTACCTAGGTAGTCTTGCTTGCTTCTCCAGCCGTTTCTAGAAGCGATGAATGAATAGAAGACTGAGAATGCGGGGAATCCCATCCATCCATCCTATTTCATTCTATCTCAGCTCATCTCATCTCATAGTTTTCCATCTTGGGATCGGAAGGCAAAAATTCAATCAATGGATGGATGGATGAATCGATTAATCATTTGAA